GTGGTGTGTTTTTTTGTTGTTATGTCTTGATGTTTTTGTTTTGTTATTTTATTTGTGTGTGTCTCTCTCTTTATTTATTTATTTTTTTCTCTCTCTCGCTCTCTTCTCTCTTCTCTCTCTCTCTCTCTCTCTCTCTCTCTCTCTCTCTCTCTCTCTCTCTCTCTCTCTCTCTCTCTCTCTCTCTCTCTCTCTCTCCTCTCTCTCTCCCCCTCCTATGTTTATTCTAATATTTCGTGGATTATTTTTTTCTTTGCGACTGAAAACACTTCGTGAGATGAGGATTTTCGGATAGCTGTGGGGGTGGGGGTAGGAGGGGGAAGGGGGGTAAGGTTATAGAAAAGGTGGGAGATTTTGTGATTATTATTGGTATTTCGAAGGCGGATGTACGAAGATCTGTGTTTGGTTGGGGATGAGGATTTAAATAGGCATGGGCGTGTACGTATTCACACACACACACACACACACACACGCACACACACAGCTCCCCACACCCCCCCCCCACACACACACACTTTTGTCCACCACACAAACGCGTATACACACTCATAAACACCCAGTTACGCACCTAAACCTACACGCACACACACTTACACACACACTTACAGGCTCACACACACACACACAGCCCAGGTACCAAAACACAATCTAGGCCTGTATCAGCTGCCACTATCTCGTTCGCTGTCAGGACCCCCTTGTATCAGGTTGAGGGATCTTGACGTATCGCGGGCTGCCTCCTGATATCTCAAGTGTTGGGGATGAGGGAGATGGAGGAGGGAGAGGGAGGGGGGGGAAGGAGGGGGGAGAGGAAGAGGGGAGAGGGAGTTGGTGGAGGTGGTGGAGGGGGGGGAGAGGGAGGTGGATGAGAAGGATGAGGAAGAGGGAAATGGAGACGGAGGAAGGAGAGGGAAGGGGGGAGAGGGAGAGGTGGAGGTGGTGGAATAGGGAGAGGGAGAGGGAGGTGGAGGAGGTAGGAAGAGCAAGAGGAAAAATAGGAAAAATATAGAAAAATTATATTCATCTCTTCGTTGTATCGCTACCATTCCTTCTATCATAACCTACTATTCCTTCCCACATCTTTATTGTCCCTCGACTTCCCACACGTTTATCACCGTCCGTCACTCCTCAGAGACAATATTTAGCCATCGGATATTTTCCCACGAAGAAGTCAAGAAAGGTGAACATCTTGGGGTGTTTTCGCGTTAGGGGAGGAAGAAGGCAATTAAGGGGTCTGGAACAGGTGAAAATCAAGGACAGCTCAGGTCATTTGGGGGTCATTTGAGGTGAGGTGTGAAGGAGAGGGTGCTTGATCTCTCTCTCTCTCTCGCTCTCTCTCTCTCTCTCTCTCTCTGTCTCTGTCTCTCTCTCTCTTCTCTCTCTCTCTCTCTCTCTCTCTCTCTCTCTCTCTCTCTCTCTCTCTCTCTCTCTCTCTCTCTCTCTCTCTCTCCCTCTCTCTCTCTCTCTCTCTCTCTCTCTCTCTCTCTCTCTCTCTCTCTCTCTCTCTCTTTCTCTTCCTCCTCCCCTCCTTCCCCCTCCCGTTCACCTCATCACCTCCTCCTCCTTCTCTATTGTTCTTGGCGTTTTACATCCTGTCTGCTTTGTCTCTCTTTTCCTTTTCCCTTTGTCCTTATTTGTTTGTTTCTGTCTTTGTCTGTCTGTCCGTCTCTCTCTCTCTCTCTCTCTCTCTCTCTCTCTCTCTCTCTCTCTCTCTCTCTCTCTCTCTCTCTCTCTCTCTTTCTCTTTCTATATAGAAAATCCTTCAGCAAATAAACTCTTCCTCTCCCCTTCCCTTCCCCCCTCCCTCCCCCCCCACCACTCAAATCGAAAGCGAGAGAAAAGAAATCCTTATTTACCGCGAAATTCTGCTATTCACCCAGCCATAACTGTGGTCAAGGAACACCCCCTCCTCCCCTACACCCCCCCCTTCACCTCTTACCTCCCTATCCCCCAACCACCTCCCCCTATCCCCCATTATCTACCATTAGATGCGCTTCTTTATAATAGTCAAACAAGTGTCCATTTAAGGCAAACAGATGAATTGTGTTCCATGCCTGGGTATGAGGTGGGTGACAGGTCGATGCGCACACAGACACACGCACATACTCACACACACACACACACACACACACACACACACACACACACACACACACACACACACACACACACACACACACACACACACACACACACACAGCGTACATGTATACCTAGGTGAATATCTGTACTAATACATAAGCTAGCATAAGTACAGGAACAAAAACAAAACAAAAAAATACATACACATCTGCGCACACGTCCTCAAACACAAACACCCAAAAACAAACACACACAAACACACAAACCTGCCAAAACACACACAACCCCCCCCCTCCCCACACACCATGAAACCCTCATCCCTCTTACCCCCTCCTTGAGTATCACAAAGGGTGCTTATCCCATTTAAAGCACTGGGTCCATCGGCCTTATTGTCAGTGGCATGGACTGTTTGCTCTCTATTGTCAGGGGCTTGACACTCTCTTGACACTGATACAATCTGGAGATTTAGGACTTCTGCAGTCTTGGCTACTGTCTTCGTTTTTTCTTTGCTTTTTTGTTATTTCTTTTTATTATTGATTTATCTATCTATCTATTCATCTAACTATGTACATAGGTACTTCTCTGTTTATCTGCATTATCTTCTATGCATCTGTCTTACTTCAGTCAATATTTCAATTCTCCCTGTCATTTATAACTTTGAATTAAGAAATGGGAGATAATGCGATAAAGGAAAGAGAAACACAATGGAGAGAAGAAAGTTTTTTTCTAAATAAGTAAATAAAAAAAAAAATAAAAAAAATAGGGCAACCGGAACGAACGACCTCCCCCCCCCCCGCCCTTATACCCACTTCTTATACTTGACACTTGTACCTACTAAGCCTGTCTATTTTTCTCTCAAGAGTGGGAAGGCTTAGATGGGCCGAGTGTGGGTGAGGGGGGGAGGAGACACTGACTCTTTGCTTCTTTTTCTCTTCTTCTTTTTCTCTTTCTCTTTCTTTCTTTTGTTTTTCTTCTCATTCACCTCCTCTCTCTCTCTCTCGCTCTCGTTTCTCTCTCTCCTCTCTCCTTCCCATCACTAACATCCTTGCCCCTACCTTCCTCCACCTCCACCTCCTACCTCCCCCCTCCCTCTCATCTACCCCCTCCACCTCCACCTCCAACCTCCCCCCCACCACCACCTCCCACCTCCCTCTCATCTACCCCTCCTCCTCCACCTCCCCCTCTCATCTACCCCCTCCTCCTCCACCTCCAACCTCCTCCCCCTCCCCCCCCTCCTCCCTCCCCCCTCCCCCGTGTTCCAGAAGGTGTCTCGGCCAGTCTCTAATTAGGGCTTTCCCGCCGAAGCGTTTATGGGTCCATTAGAAGGGAGGCCGAGATGGCAGCGAGGGGAGGTGTGGGTGGCAGGTGGGGGAGGGGAGGGAGGGAGGGAGAGGGAGGAGAGGGGAGGGAGGAGGGAGGGAATGATGGGATGAGAAGGGAGGATGGGATGGGAGGATAGGGGGTAGGGAGGCTGGTGTTTGAATTTCGTTTGTCTTTTTTTTTTTTTGTTTATTATTATATTATTATTATTATTATTATTATTATTATTATTATTATTATTATTATATATTTCCCTCTTAAAACAATGTCTTGTCTTCAATATCTTACATTATATTTTTCTCTCATTCCTTCTCTCCATTTTCTCTTCCTGGCAAAGAAAGAAAGAAATGGTAAGAAAGACCCTTGAAAAAAGGGGAAAAAAAAGAAAGAGTGAGACCCAGACCCAGAAAAAAACAACACAAATTACACCTTATGTATAAACCACTACAGGTCTACGCCTATCAGTAAAAAAAAAAAAAAAAAAAAAAAAAAAAAAAAAAAAAAAAAAAAAAAAAAAACATTAAAAAAAGAAAATCCAGGTAAACCATAGTAGCACATAAGGAGGGAGGGAGGGAGGGAGGGAAAGAAGAAAGGTAGGGTAGGAGGAGGGGTGGGGAGGGGAAGGAGGGAAGGAGAGGTGAGTCTTTCCTCCTGAAGTCGACCGTGGGAATATTCTGTCCTCATTATGTATTCCGAAGACCTGACTTATGAGGAAGCTAGAAGGGGGGGGGGGGTAGGGGTACTGTAGGGGGGTAGGGGTACTGTAGGGTGGAGGGGAAGGGGGAAGGAAGGTCTGTTTGTCCAGGTAGCTGTCTGTCTCTCTCTGTCTGTCTCCTCGTTCCGTTTTATTGTCTTTTTTCTCTCGTCTCCTTTTGTGTCCTTCGCGTGGCTATTGTCTTGTGGGTTTCATCTTCTCTTTTGGTTTTGTTTGTTTCTTCTTCTCTTCGTCTGCCTGTCTCTTGGTTTGTTTCGGTCTCTGTTTTATTTTCGTTCTATTTCACTCTCTCCTCTGTTTCTCTGTCTCTCTCTCTCTCTCTTCTCCCTCCCTCCTCCTCTCTCTCTCTCTCTTCTCTCTCTCTCTCTCTCTCTCTCATCCTCCTCTTCCTCCCTCCCCCCTCCTTCTCTCTGGCGGAGGGTAGGGGGTGGAGGGAACAGCTGAGAGAGGGGGAGGGGCAGGGGGGGGGAGGAATCCGGAGGCCCCTGGGGAGTGTTGGGTACAGCTTACGGTCTAAACGTTTGTGTAATCCGTAAATCTACAATGGGGATACATGGGTGCGAACACAGGGCTCTCCGGGATGTCTGAGAGTTGGGGGGGGAGGGGGGGGGCGGTAAGGGGTGGGGGTGGAGGATGAGAGGATGGAATGGGATAATGGAGTGTTGGGGTGGGAGGTGGGGAGATGGGGAGGGTTGGGGAAGGGGAAGGGAGAGGGATTTCAGTGGAGTTATTTGGGTGATTTTTGTAACGTTCCTTTCTGCCTGGCTAATGTCGTCGTCGATGTGGCTGTGTTAGATTATCTATTTTTTATTGGTTTGTCTTGCTTTTCCTGCGTCTCGTCCCCTCGCTCGTCCCCTTCTGTCCTAACGCGGCTCTCTCTCTCCCGCAGGTGAAGATCTGGTTCCAGAACCGCCGCTCCAAGTACAAGAAGCTGTACAAGGCCGCCCAGAACGGTCAGCTGCCGGGCGTGGACGCTGCTGACATCGCTGCTGACCTCGGCGCCAACCTCGCCCAGATGGTCAGCGGCCCCGAGTCCCCCAGCTCTCCGGCGCCCACCGAGCACGCCCACGAGCACCCGCCCTCGTCCGTGGGCGGCGGCGACGGCAGCGGCCCCCTCTCCCCCCCGCCCGAGCACCAGGAGCGCCCGCAGTCGCAGACGCCCACCGTGTCCAGCCACGGCGCCGACATGAGCACGCCCATGATGTCGGGCGCCCAGAGGGAGATGATGGTGTCGCCGCCCGTGGCCACGCCCAAGGACATGGCGCCCATGAACGCCGCCGCCGCCATGGTGGCGTGCGAGCAGCAGAGGCGCGAGCAGCCGCCCATGATGCACCCGCACCACCAGTGGGACCCCGCCCACTACATGTCCTATTGGAACCACTACGGCGACATGGCCGCCCACCAGATGAACCACCAGATCATGACCTAAGCGGCGGCGCCTCTGGTCCTTGTTTACTTTTGTTTTGTTGTTTGTTTGTTTTGTGCGCGGGGAGGCTGTTCGTTTGCGTTGTTTGGCGGTGCCACGCTCCTCGCCCCTCCCCCTCCCCCCTCCACCCCCTCCGTTCGCTCCTCCTCTTCTTCCTCCTCCCCCGCCCGCTCTGGGGAAACGAGGTCATGTCAGCGGGATCGATCGAGGTCGGAGGTCAGAGGTCGCAGGAAGGGAAGGAGACCGGGAAGAAGAAGGAGAAGGAAAGGAGGAGAAGAATAGGAGAAGCAGAAGAATAGGAAGAAACAGAAGAAGGGGAGGAAAAGAAGGAAGAAGATGTAGAAAAGGGAGGGAAAAGATGGAGGAGGAAGAAAAGGTAAAAGAGGAGGAGGAAGAAAGGATAAAAGAGGAGGAGGAATAAGAAGAAACGGAGGAAGAAGAATAAGAGAAAAAAAAGGAAGAGGAGGAGAAGAGAGCAGAAGAAGGTTCATCGTGACCTTTCGGAAAGGGGGAAAAGAAGGTCTTCAGAAGATGGTTCAATTGACCTTATCCCCCCCTCTATCTCCCCTCCAACCCCTCCCCCACACCATGTTTGATAACGGGAGGGAAGTATTTCTCCCCTCCCCTCCCCCCTTCCCCTCTCCACCCCCTGGGCACGTGGAGGCACCCCCGCCCCCACCCCACCGCCCCCACCTCCCTGCTAGCCCCCCACCCCCTCCATCCCAACATTCCAGGGTGGCGCCCGTATGTGCGTATGTATGTCTGTATGTACACCAATCAGTTGGTGGCGCACTTTTTTTTTTTTTTTTTTTTTTTTTTTTTGAGAAAATAATGTGCACACACGCACACATCTTATGAAGAGATGACTCATGTGCGTATGAAAATCGTCCCAGCTGGAATTCCATGTATGTCTTTGTATAAAAAAAATGTGAGAAAAAGTAAGAAAAAAAAAAAATATGGGTGCGGCATATGCACTTCTCTCCCCTCCCCCCCCCCCCTTCAACCTCCCCACTCACCCCCCTCCCCCGCCCCCGCTGCCAGATGGTGCAGGAGACTAATCTGTTTCATTTAGCCTCTCCTACAAACTCCTCCCCCCACCTCTCCCTCCCCTCCTCACTCTCCTCTCCCCCTCCTTCCTACTTCCCCCTTCCCCCTCCTCCTCTGTCTCCTCCTCCCCCCTCTCACCAGCTGTCTCCCCCACCACCCCTCTCTCTCACCCAGCTGGAGTTGTTGTACAAGCGCTCCTTTTATGAATTCAGCTGGTTTTCCCAACTTTATACTTGGGGCTCCTTGTACTAGAGCAAAAATTGTTTTTCTCTCGTCTGTCTTTTTTTTGACTCGCTTTTTCCTCTTCTCTCTCTCTCTCTCTCTCTTCTCTCTCTCTCTCTCCTCTCTCTCATCTCTTCTCTCTCTCTCTCTCTCTCTCTCTCTCTCTCTCGGGGTGTATGTATGTGTGTATGTAAAGTGTATGTAATTACACGAACACATCTCTTTCCCACGTAGAAAGAGGAGATACACTCTCCCTCTCTTTGATTATTTTCCTCTCTCAGCCCCTTCCACTTTCCCCTTTATTCCTCTCCCTCTTTCCCTCGTTTCCCTCTCCCCCCCCTTTTCCATCCCCTCCCTCCCCCTCTTCCCCCCTCTGCACCAGCTTCCTCCCACCACCTGTCTAGTTAGAGCACAGGTGGCTATGGGGTACAGCTGGCATTTGTATAAAGAAGTGAACTATGATGATTCTTGCGTAGTGTGTTTGAGAGTTCATGAAGCAGGTTGGTATCACTGTATAGAATTTATGATGTTGTTCTTTGATGAATCATGTTGTTGCTCTCTCTCTCTCTCTCTCTCTCTCTCTCTCTCTCTCTCTCTCTCTCTCTCTCTCTCTCTCTCTCTCTCTCTCTCTCTCTTCTCTCTTCTTCGTCTACTTTCTCTCTTAGATATTCTCACTTCATAATTTTTTACTTTCTCTCATTTTTCTACCGTGATAGTGCATGTCGTATTAATGTTTGTGTGCAATACTATAAAAAAGCAACAGAGAATCTCTCTCTCTCTCTCTCTCTCTCTCTCTCTCTCTCTCTCTCTCCTCTCTCTCTCTCTCTCTCTCCTCTCTCTCTCTCTCTCTCTCTCTCTCTCTCTTCCATTTATTCATGATTATTATTGATAAAAACGATAAAGAAATGTAGTCTCTGGACGGATGGAATTATATATATTGAAAAAAAAAAACAATGTAGTTTTCCAACCATACTCTCTCTCTCTCTCTCTCTCTCTCTCTCTCTCTCTCTCTCTCTCTCTCTCTCTCTCTCTCTCTCTCTCTCTCTCTCTCTCTCTCTCTCTCTCTCTCTCTCTCTCTCTCTCTCTCTCTCTCTCTCTCCTTTCTTAAACCTTCAGACGATGATATAAAAGAAGGTTTATTTTGTATTTGAATTAGAGCCCCCAGTTTGATTATTTTCTCGAAAAAATATAAGGAATTAGACATTTTTTTGCCCCATTTTGTTTTTGTCTAGTGAGATTTTATATATATATGAATAAATATATATATATAGATAGATTTTTGTTTCTTCACATTGAATGAAGAAGATAGTGTCCCAAATGAAGGGAAAATTTAAAAAAAGAGAAAAAAATACACCCCCTTCTCTCCTCCCCCCCTTTAAGATAAAGGGGGGGAGGGGTAATTTTTTAATCTTATATTTATTTTGTTCATTGTAATTGATTTTAACAGCGAACGGTTTTAATCTCTGTAAATAATGTAACATATGTACGTGTAAATAAACATCTATATAACTTAATTTTTTTGGTTTTGTGTATGAAGATCCTTTTGTTATTTTAAAATGTGATTTCAATATTTTTTTCTTTTAATTCTTAATAATGTAAGTTTTCTTTTTTGTTACTGATTTATTTCTAGATCAGTTATTTGATAAAGAACATTAATGTGCCTACATGCAGTTATAAACAGTTTTTTCATTACTTTTATCATCTTCTTCAGTGTTTTATAATTGTTATAATTGTGAAGCAGAACACAAAAATGCATATGACAAAGATCTCATAAAAAAAAATTCTTGATAAAAAAGGGATCAGTAAATGAAACGCTTAAAATATTAGAAATGAATATGACAAATCAGTATATAAAGAGGAAAACACAATGGTAATACATTTATTTCCAATGATGCTATTACGAAAAAAATATAAGTAGAAATATTCACTAAGATACAACATTGCATATACGCACAGACGCACTCAAAAACAAAACATAATTAAAAAAAAAAAGGGAAGAGAAACTGAAAGAAAAAGAAATAAAGAAGAAGTAAAAAAAAGATGGTAAAGAAAATGTTTACATATGTATGTAAGCACATACATATAAACATTGTGTTTATTATCACTGTTATCATCTTCATTATAATTATAATGATGATGGTGATAGTAATAATGCAGATGACAATGAGAACAATAACAAAAACAATAATAACGTTATCAGAATTAACAATATTAGTAATAATAATGATGATGATTAGATACTATTTCTGTTACTACTACTACTATTAATAATGAAAATAACAGTAGAAACGTTATGTTAATGGGAATTGTGATTATAATAACAACATCAATAACAATAATAATATTAATAATAATATTATTAGTAATTTGTATAACAAGAGCAATAATAATGATGATAATGATAATAATGATAATATATTGAAAATAATGATAATAACAATATTGAAAATAATGATAATAACAATATTGATGATGGTGATGATAATAATGACAATGATAAAAGATAATCAAAAGGATGATAATGATGATAATGATCAAAAAGAAGAAAATATCATAACAATAATGGGAATAATGATATTGACAATGGCACTAATATTGATAATGGTAATAAGGGTGATAATAATGATAATAATGATAATGATAATAATGATGAGATTGATATGATGATAAAAATAATAATAATGATAATAACAATGATAAATATAACAATGAAAATAATTACAAGGATAATTAAAATGATAACAATAATAATGCTATAATAATAATTTTGATAATGATAATGACAATAATTGTTAATGATGAAAATAACAATAAAACAAAAAACAAAATTGATAGTATTGAAGATAATAATAACAATAACAATAATAATAACAACAATGATAATGATAATACTGATTATAGTAAGAACAATAAAAACAATATTGAAAAAAGAATAATGATAATAATGAAAATAATGAAAATAACCATCATGAAAAAAGACCAGGAATAATGAAATAGTGATACGAAAAAGATTCTAAAATATAGTAATTATCAAAATCAGAAGAAAAATGAACTTATTACTTCTATGAATATTTTTTTCACCTAATTAATGCATCTATTTTGACCATCGGTTCTAATTATTTGTATAGTTAATAATAATGAAAACTTGGCTTGTAATTATCTGTGTTTACAAACTCACAGGTAAATTCACACATTATATCTTACAAAGCAAATGAAAACAAGAACAAAAGCGAAAAATAGATTAATATATAAAAAACAATTGCGAAAAAATGATTCGAGAATAAAAATACAACAGCAGAATTATAGTAAGGAAATCACGAACAAAAAGCATTAACAAAAACAGAAACAAAATCAAAGAACATATATATATATATATATATATATATATATATATATATATATATATATATATATATATATATATATATATATATATATAAAATATATGCAAAAAATAATAAAAATGCAAAAGCAAACAAACAAAAAACATAAGAAAGACAAGAAGAGTGACGACAGGAGAAAATGAATACAAACAAATGCGAGAAAAAAAACTAACAATAACAAAGACAAGAAGACATGGCAAATAACAACAAAAAACAAGAGCAAATACAATTACTTCACTTGAAATTCTGGGCCATGCATACTTCATGAGGCAAAACTTGGAACGTGACACAAATGCATGATTCTTTGTGTCACGTGATTTGCAGATCTGCATGACATTTCCTCTCTACCCTCTCTTTTCTCCCCTTTTCTTCTCTCTCCTTCGCTTTCTCTCCAGTCTCCCTTCTCTTCCCTCTCTCCCATTTCACTGTTCTCTTCACATGTTTTCTACACTATACATGTATAAATGACAAAGATCCCAAATGCATTACATAATACATATACATACATTACATACATTACATACATACATACATACATACATACATACATACATACATACATACATACATACATACATACATACATACATACATACATACATACATACATACATACTATAAATTATATATAATACATACGTGATATATATATATATATATATATATATATATATATAGTAAA